TGTGCAAAAGCATTGTTTTACTGTTGTGCATAAGTCATGAACTTCAGTTTTTTTTTTAAACCAAATTTACCCTCTCGTGATTTATTTCACATAAATATGAATGAGCATGGCTGTAATTTATGTTTTTGCACTTGGTCGTTTATGTCAATGCGCATATTAAGTTTTATTTTTGTGTTTTGCCCATCCTCTGACAGTATTTTCTAACTATTTAATTAGTAGTAACATGCCATAATAACTAGATACATATAATTTAATTTTAAAGCTCTTAAAACTTTGAAAAAAGTGTTTTGTTATTTTTTGGTGACAGTTTGCAATAAGGTTTTTTTTAGTTAATCTATGTACTAACATAAACTAATAATGAACTATACTTTTAAACCTTTATTAATTATAGTTTAACATTTACTATTGCATTATTACAATTTAAAGGTATGCTTGTTAACATTATTGTTAATGCACTGTTATTTAACAAGAATTAACCAATAATTTTATTTCCATTAATTAAAGCATAAAATAATGAATACTGTAATGAACTGCACTGCATTGTTTGTTCACATTAGTACATGCATAAACTTAATTAATTAATACAAGCTTATTGTAAAGTGTTACCTTTTTCATATTTTGGATTAATACTATTAATTTTATTTAGTATTTAAAACCTTAAAGGTATTTTTATTATTGTTGATGTTATGCCTCTTAGCAATATTTTAGTCCTCTATATGGTTTTTAATTAAATTTTTATTGTGAGATTGTAATGTAATGCATCTATATTGTTGAATTTCTGTTTGTTTTTCTGTATTTCTCCCTCTATATTTAAAGATTATCTACTATTTTTTAAAGTACTTAAAACCAACCATCTAATAAAAAATACAATTAACAATCACATTTTGTTTCATGAGTGTCTTAGTTCCTGTTTTGTAGGACTCTTATTTTAACAGATTTCATTTGGAAACACTTGACTGATCATTCAATTAAAGTTTTACCTTTATTATTCCATCACTCAATGAGATCATTTAATTGTGAGTTGAATTACTCCATTTGCAATTGTTTTTAAATAAACTAAAAACGAAGACTTGTTTTATTCAGTTTGTTGAATGTGATCTTCTCTACTTTACATATTAAAAGATATTTAAAACCACTATGAATGTATTTAAACAAATATTTAAATTTATATAACTGTTTCACTGTGGGTATTTCTATTTTAATTTATTTAGCATATTTATTGGCTATTCAAACATGAAAAATTGTTAAACATTACAAATCCCTGCAGAAAAATCCAGCTTAAACCAGCCTAGGCTGGTAAGCTGGTTTTAGCTGGTCGACCAGGCTGGTTTTAGAGAGGTTTTGGTCATTTCTAGGCCGGTTTCCAGCCTATATACCCTATATTGTAAAAAAACTACAGCACTGGGTCATTTGTTTATATTACACTTGTGTTACCATAACAACTACAATATGACCCCAACAGATTAATTGAAGTACTTTACTATAGTACTGTTCAAAACACTGTACATGCCAGTAGATGTGTTCAGGGGCCCTGTGGAACAGCTTTTCCTCAAAATGAAGAGGATGACATGGAAAATGTCCTCCACAATCTCATCAATAATGTGGAAGACAGCAGAGACTAGTTCACTTTATTTTAGTTGCCATGATAAAATGGGATTGATAGTGAGATTTATTTAAAGAGTGAATAGTACAGTAGGCTATAATACCTTATCAAGTTTTTCCTTATTTTTATCACAGTTACATTTCTGCTTGCGTTACTTATATTTTTGTTTAAATGTTTTTTATTTGATTAGTATGGTGCACCTTTTGGATGTTTAATAAATGTTTGTAAAACAAAATGCATTCTTTACATCCAACCTCTATTCTCTGTCTTTAAGTGTTTGTAACTGGAAATATGTCATCATATAACATATAGCCAAAATGTTATGGTTTATTAGATAAAAATATTTAATATGTAAGTCTGATTTAGTATTTTGGTTATTGTTAATAAATAGTGCCTCAATATGAATCATATCAAAAAGCACAAAAGGAGGAGGAAACACAAGACACAAATTCTGTATATAATCTCTGAGAGCACGCAGGAAAATGTGTGTGTGAGCAGTGCATATTTGAGAGCGAGAAAATTTCAGATTAACAGATCTTACAACCATACATAATCTGTTTACATTTTATTTTTCTGTTAAAAAGACTCGAAAAGACTCGAAAATCAAACTGTAGGACTTTGGACTTGACTTGAGACTTGTTGCCTTTGACTTGGGACTTGACTCGGGACTTGCCTGTCTTGACTCGGGACTTGACTCGGGACTTGAGGGCAATGAATTGAGACTTACTTGTGACTTGCCAAACAATGACTTGGTCCCACCTCTGAAAACAACTATTTATTAGCATAATAAGAAATCTGACTGACCCAATAAACCCAAAGCAATGACAACTTCCTCTAAGCTCCCAAAAGGCGAGGTTGAGAATCTTACCAAGAAGGTTAACAGCACTTGCTGGCCATGCAAAGCCTCTGTTTCTTCCACATAGACATACTGCGAGTCCCGACACAAAGGCTGGTTGTGTTGCACGCGGCGAGGCCTGAGCTTTCTAAGGAGATGTGAACCGCTTTTATGGGTCAGCCTACACTACACAACTAGGCCCCGTGACAGTGTCTGCTCATCTACGCAATTTGAGGATCCCTCTCTGACCGGGTCTGCCATTTCTAAACAGAACCCTGGCATGTGTGGCAGCCGGATTAACAGTTTTTGCCATTTTTGGGAACAGGATCGGCTTGTAAAACCACCACCGGGTCAGAACAAGTTTTATTCTCCTTAACAGACTCTGAAAAGCAAAAAAAAAAAAAAAGCTCAACTCTTGTTGACTTTAGCAGCCATAAACTGGGATGCAAACACTGTCCTAAATAGATTTTGCAACTCGAGTTTCAAATTAAGGCTGTGATCTAATTATTTTCATAGTTACTGCATCTCTCCGTTCTGAGAACAATGTAGGGACATGTGTTATGAAACGCTCTGCGCTACTGAAGCATTCAGATACAATCTTTAGCTTAAATTGCTGACAATTTAGCTTTGCTTGCTGCCACAAATGACCTAATGGCTCTGACACCAAAACGAAAGCAAAGAGCGGCCTAATGGTCAGATCACGAGATGGCTGTAAACCGACACTCGTGCAACTCAAAGACTCTTTGAAACACTTAACTCGAAGTGTATTGCTAATAAATTAGCATGCAGACCATCCACAACAGTTTACTGGTCGGGAAAACACTCTACAGTTGTTGGGGACACTTCAACACTTATGGAATGTGCTAGAATTTGGGAAGAAGTGAAACAGAATTTGAGCTGTCAAATAGGACTATTTCAGACATATGTAGAAAATACATGATTCATAGTTTCCACACCTTTTCCAATGATTTTCCATGACCTCAAGCTATTATAGCTTCCAAAAACTATAGAGATGTACAAACTTAATTTCAGGTTTAAAACAGGGCTGGGCCATTTGGCCTAAAACCAAATTCTCAATTAATTGAACATTTTAACTTGATTACGATTAATGAACGATTATTTTAATAATTTATTTTATGTTTTTGCCCTCATAGTTTAGGTTTTGTACAGTAAATATGCAGACTTCTGAATGAAGGGTGCATTACTTGATTTTAAAATAACTGAAGTAAAAATATAATAATTTTAACAATGGAAAGTGTCAAGGTATCTCAGTGCAGCTTCCAATCATCGTCAATGTAGTGTAAAGTAAGGCTCAAGAATGGGTCCATCGTCCAACTTGACAAGAAATCCACCTCAGCCTTTAACAGAGCGTGGTCAGGTGACTTCACATGCGGTAGGGAAAGTAATAAATTTATTTTTATTGATTATATGTTCTGAATGTCGATTTCGATTACTTTTCATTTAATCGCCCAGCCCTAGTCTAAAATATAATTGCAAACTCATATTCCTTTAGCCACTGAATAAACTCTGGATATAAATAACAAACGTACAAAACACAAACTAATTTTTTTTTAAATCATATATTCACTACTGTATATAACAATGTTTCATATTTTTCTTCATGCACGCTTAAAGTTAATACACAAATGAAAATGTACTCACTATTTACTCTTCCTCAACTGGTTCCAAATCTTTGAGTTCCTTTCCTTTGTTGAAAACAAAAGAAGATGGAAAGTTGGAAACTGATAACCATTGACATGCATAGATGGAAAAATAAAACCTATGGACATCGATGGTTATCGGTTTCTGTCATTCTGCGAAGTATCTTCTTTTGTGTTCGACAGAAGCAACTCAAACAAGTTTGGAACAAGTGAAAGGTAAGTTAATGATGACAATGTTCAGTTTTGGGAAACTGTATTGCACATCTTTGCCATTTTATATTCAGATTATCTGTATAAATTATGATGCTGCAATGCCAAAATTCCCTTTTTTAGGATTTTTCTTCATGTAATCTAAAAATTGTATGGCAGAAAATATTTACATGACCATGGGAAAGCTGGATCTAAGCCTTGAGCTATTGTTTTAAAATCACAACAAATACTGCAAAATAACAATGCAAATCACATTCACCAAATGTATTTCAATTTTGACTTAAACACTTCGTCAGCATCGCTATGCATGCATCAGATCACAAACAATAAGCTTTAAATGGAGAGTTTACTAAAATATGCACATTCGGTCATCATTTACTGTGCCTTCACATGTTCCAAACCTTTTTGAGTTTCTTCATTTTGTTGAACACAAATGGAGATATTTTGAAAAAAGATTTAAACCTGTAACCACTGACTTCAATAGTATTTGTTTTTCCTACTGAGGATGTCGATGGTTCCATGTTTTCAGCTTTCTTCAAATGCTATTATTTACTCATACACGTTCATAAGCACTTGAGAGAGAGTAAAAAGCAAGCAAACGTTCATTTTTGGGTGAACTATGCCTTTAAAGTCAAACCTCATGCCAAACCCTGTCGATGAGAGAGCAGCAGCTGTCAAGAGATGCACTTACCCAGCAAGAGGAGTTTGAGCTCCCGCCTGGCATCTCGCTTGTCTCTCCGGAGCTGTTTGTCGATCTCGGCGTTGATTCTTTTGGACTCCTTCGCTTCTTCACTCATGCAACAGGCCATCATGGACTCCAGAGTCATCACCACAGCGTTTGGAGATCCCAACCCCCGATCTGACACACTTCTGCGGCCCGCTTCCCTTTAGCAACCGCGTCGAAAGAGGAACGGGATGGATTTTGGGGGGCGAATGGCGTTTAAAACAGAATCGATGAAACGAAATAGACCGAACGGATCTATCAAACAAGGCCAAAGACTGGATGAGATCGGAGGCCAGATGTGAATCTTAAGATCTCCACTATCAGACCCACTCGAGCCCCGTTTTTAATAAAAAAAATCTGATGACTACCAACCAGAGTCCCGAAGGGACAAACCAGCCTGCCACGACATCCGTGCTGTCCTTTGCTGTCTCGCTAAGCTAACCGCCCCAGTGCCCAGACTCACCGCAACACTGTCCATCAGCCGCCGGGATCTCTAGCTAACACACGGCGACAGGTGGCAGAAGACAGCCATATGCGCTTTTACAGACGCTCTGTGTGCACAAAACACTGCCTACAGTGCGAACACTTGATTTCGAGCATCCAAAAGCTCAAAAGTTAATTAGCTAAGCGCACTAACTAGCTTAATTGGGGTGGGCTAACCTGCTAGCTAGCCGGAATCTCTATTTACAGTCCACGCGCTGGTTTCACGGCTCATTTCTTTGCATCCGCGGAATATTTGAAGGATGGAAAACTGGAAATGGTGACACAGGTGCGGGCTTCACCCTCTAACCAAAAATCGACGGAGTGAAAAAATTTCCAGATGATCGCACCGTCCAGTCCGGTGTGAGTCGCACACAAACCTGGAGCTGCGACAGCTGGAAAATCGAGCGTGAGTGACAGGGAGAGTGGCCAATGCGAGGGAGAAGCGCATAAGGGGGCGGGGCGTGGAAGGAGGCAAGGTTGGTGGAAGAACTGCTGTGGATTGCGCGGGGCGTGTCCCGCCACAAACCCTGCTATTCGACTGACTGGACAACGCCCATTCCTGTTTAAACATATCTAGCTAATTTATTCATACAATTTCTGTCATAATTTGAGGTAATAATACATATTAAGAGCGCATAAAAGCAAATGTTTATTATTTAGACCTTTCACATACTATTAAAGCGACGCTTCCGTTGCGTACAAAGTTAAAGGGACTTGTTATCGTCAGTGATAAACTTCAAGATTAGCAGGTGCTTTCTTGCTCTTTATCGACACCATGTGGGAAAAGTTTGGAGGAAAATACTGGTAAATTCTTAATATTATCTTATTTTCTAAACAGGTAACTGTCTGTAAAAAATAACCATTACCAAAATTACTTGATTTCAGTGAAATAAATGTCATAATGTCAGTAATGTCTTTAAAAAATGTTTTAACAAAATTGATATTTATTATTTTAATATTCATTTCCCCACAGTCAAAAGACGTGGTACAGGTGAATTGAGTAAGCTAACTGTCCGTAGTGTATGAGTGTGTATGGATGTTTCCCAGAGATGGGTTGCAGCTGGAAGGCCATCTGCTGCGTAAAACATATGCTGGATAAGTAGGCGGTTCATTCTGCTGTGATAACCCCAGATTAATAAAGGGACTAAGCCAAAACGAAAATGAATGAATGAATGTCAACGTGCTAAATTATATTTCTGCAGTAGTTAGCTGACATGTTGAGCATTTTTTTGAGCAACACACGCAAATGTGTGTGTGTGGTTTTTAAATATAAATAATACACAAATAAATTTAATTAAACAGAAACACACACACACACAAATCTTACTGAAAATTTGTTTTTGTGTGTTTTTTCATTAAAATAAAGTAAAACTTTTATAACATTTTTTGTTATGTGGCAGGGCAGGGGCGTTTTCTCTGGGTGCTCCTGTTTCCCCCCATATTTCAAATACCTGCGCTATAGGTTAATTGGAAAGCTAAATTGGCCAAAGTGTATGAGTTTGAATGTGAGAGTGAATAGGTGTTTCCCAGTTCTGGGTTACAGCTGGAAGGGCACCCGCTGTGTATAACATACACTAGATAAGTTGGCAGTTCATTCCGCTGTGGCGACCCCTGATTAATAAAGGGACTAAGCAGAAGGAAAATGAATGAATGTTTTGTGGCAGAAAACTATAGTAACTATAGACTATTTAAAACACAATTCAACAAAATGGTCATCGATAGGACTTAAACAGACTAAAAAGTCCTAAATAACTGCCAGACATTTTCCCATGTTAGTCTCCACCTGTTGTGTTAGAAAGATTCACAATTTTTAAAAATGTGACCCAAACTAGAATGCAGTGAACCTAAATGTCAAGTTACATCATGAAGTATTATAGACGTACAATCAGCCAGAGAATCTCAAAAACTAAATTTTAGGACTTAAAAAGTCGTAAAACTACTTAAATTGTGTTTTGTAGGTCTTAATTTCCCTTTGTTTAAGTATAGCTACCCAATCTGGCCAACACCCATCAAATAAATAAATAATAAAGCTTTTAACTTTATATTTAAGAATGTTCTTTTTAACTCTTTTTACCATCATGGTTTAATTATTGTCCTTACAATAACATTTGTTTAAACGTTTTCCATGTATTTGCTGCTGAGGAAGCTGACCTGGACAGACTGTTGTGCATACATTTGGTTTATTATAGTTTTTAAAACCTTTAAAACTTTTTTTAATATTATGTTTAAGAAAGGTTGTGTTGGAAAAAGTGTATGTATAGAACTTGTTTTGACAATATTTAAAATATTTTTCTCAGAATTAACCTAAATATTATTTTTTAAATTATCTTTATTATTATTGTAATATTAAATGTATTAAAATATAAAAAGTTTGATAGGGCAAATAAAAACCTTTTCCAACTGGACCATTCAAAACTTACTAAGCGTTTAAAACCTGGATGAGTCTATAATTTTATTTATAATGGTCTTAAAAATGACTTTAAAAGTCTTACATTTAACTCGCTGAAACCTGCAGAAAGCCTGTTTGGTATTAGCTTCTATTATAAAATAAATTTGGATTCATTTTGTTTTTATTATGGACTTGTTCTTGTTTGCTGTTTCTTTAACCAAGATCTGGCAACACAAATTAATTAAGATATGTCATTCCTTGTCAAAAAAAAAAAAAAGACCAAACTTTATTTACCTTATGTATGAATACAAAATATATATAAAAAAAAGAATAAATAATTATACTTTATTATTGTTTCTGTTGGAGAAATGGAGGATTTCAGCGGTGGGATTATTTGCTCTGAAGATCAGAAAACTGCCACCATCAGAAGTAAATACATCGACTGCATTCTTAGGGAGGAGGTTGAAAGCTGCTGTCGAGAGGACAAATTACTTTTATTAGGTGAGATGATTCTTTAGATACACATTAGGGCTGAGCGATTTGGCCTAAAATCCAAATCTCGATTAATTGAACATTTTAACTAGATTATTGAAGTCATCATGTGTGCTTGTATTTCTCAGTATTAGTATTAAGTTTATTCATCTACATTTCTTTTTTGCAAGTTCCCATTCCCATTTAACCAAAGCATGTGATTTGTTTTTTGCTTTCACTTAGGCTCACCAGAAAGTGGAAAGACGAAGTTTATGAAGCAGCTGAGAATCACTAATGGAAATGGATACTCAGAATATGAGAGACGTGGCTTCACTTATCTGGTGTATTAGAACATCTTCCAGTCTATGAAAGCAATGACAAGCGGCAATATAAGGTTAAAGATTCCTTACGCCAACCCACAGAGCCAGGTGATTGAGAGACCAAAAGTGTTATTAAAAATATAGAAATAGTCCCAGAGATTAGTGAAGGCTACTTTATAATAACACTCTTGTTATACTATACAGTCATCAAAAAGACGGTGCATGAGATTGACGGAATAAACCATTTTATCTAAAAAAAAAAGGTTATCAAAATTAGAGATCAATAATATAATGGACACCAGATTTCTTCAGGAATTAATAAATGTATGTATTTTATAGCACTTTAACAGACATCTAAGGCATTTTACAACCATACTGGGTGGTTGTACAACAACCACAAAAAAAGTCTGTTGCAGAGTGGGCTTATAAATCAAGACATTGTGTGAGATACAGATCTTTAGCCCTTGCAGAGCTGAACTGGTGATCAATTTTACAAAGTTGGTGCAAAGTTTATCAGTCAAAAAAAGGTTTGTCAGATAATAAGGAAATTACTAGCCTCAGTAACTTGGAGGAGTCTGGAAGAGATGGCTGTACAGTGGCTCAGTGGTTAGCACTGTCACATCACAGCAAGAAGGTAACTGGTTCGAGTCCCAGCTTCTGTGTGGAGTTTTCATGTTCTCCCTGTGGGTTTCCTCTGGGTGCTCCGGTTTCCCCCGCAGTCCAAAAACATGTGCTATAGGTGAATTGGATAAACAAAACTGACCATTGTGTAAGAGTGCATGTGGGAATGAGTGTGTATAGGTGTTTCCCAACACTGGGTTGCTGCTGAAAGGGCATCCGCTGCATAAAACATATGCCGGAATAGTTGTCGGTTCATTCCACTGTGGCAACCTCAGATAAATAAGGGACTAAGGTGAAGAAAAATTTGTGAATGAATGAATCTGGAAGCAGGGACACCACTAGGGAAACTAGGGAAAGTTAGGACGATCCTGTCCACCCTGTTTTGGGGCCCCCGGAGATATTATTAGGGGCTCATCAGAAGACCCCCCCCCACCCACGGGGGGCGCACTTTACTTGCATTCGCGATAACAACCCAACCCTCACCCTCTCGCTCTTTACCTCTTAAAGGAGGTTCCTCTTAAAGGAGGAACCTAGGGTTCGTACCGGTTAACGGAGCCCCTGTTTGGAAGTGTTTACTAATTTTGATTATTGTTTCTCATCTTTTCTTTTTCAAATATAAAATCCAATAATAAATCTGATTTAAGCTTCTACTTTGAGCTTATGTATATTCTGAGCTTATTTAAATATGTAAAAAGGGTTAGCCAATACCTTGTGGTTAAGTGCGTCGACATATACAGCTATGAGATGCTAACGTGGACCCGAGTTCAATTCCCGACTTAAGGTCCTTTGCCAATCCTGTTCCTTTCTCTCTGCTTCTCA